CCTAAGACCAGAATTTCAAAGCTGCAGTGAGCTATGATGGCTCCACTGCACTCTTAGCCTGGGCAACAGAGGGAGAGGGAGGGGGAGAGGGGGAGGGAGAGAAGGGGGAGGGGGAGAGGGGGAGGGAGAGAAAAGAGAAATGTTATAATCTCTAGGGTGCCCACTAAAAAAAATAATAATAATATATAAATAACCGGCTTATAGGAAGAAATAGAAAGATATACTGCTAGAGTATATATAAATAATGATACTTTTAGAAAAAGGTTTATCAACCAGGAAAACATAACAATGTCAAATGTGCACATATCTAATAATGTACAAGCAAAATTGAAATAGAGAAAGCACAATTATTTTGGAAGATTTTAACACACTCTTTTAGAAGCTGGTGAAACAAGTAGACAAAAGAGCTAAGTAACCATACAGAAGACTTGAACAACATAACTAACAAGGCTGATCAATCTGACATATCCAGAACCCAGCACTCAGCAATGGCAAAAATATATTTTTTCCAGGTGTATGTTTTCCAAACCGTCAATATCCTTAGTCATAACTCAGGTCTCACTAAATTTCAAAGTACAGAAAGTACAAAGAAATATAACCTGAATAATCCCCATGTGTTTGGAAGTTAAACAATACATTTGTTTTATTATTTTTTTTTTTTTTTTTGAGATGGAGTCTCGTTCTGTTGCCGAGGCTGGAGTCCAGTAGCTCGATCTTGACTCGCTGCAGTCTCTGCTTCCTGGGTTCCTGCAATTCTCCTGCTTCAGCCTCCTGAGTAACTGGGATTACAGGCACCCATCACCATGCCTGGCTAATTTATTGTATTTTTAGTAGGGACAGGTTTCACCATGTTGGCCAGGCTGGTCTTGAACTCCTAGCATCAAGTGATCCGCCCACCTCAGCCTCCCAAAGTGCTGGGATTACAGGTGTGAGCTACAGCACCACACCAAGCAATACATTTCTGAATAACTCGAGGATCAAGGAAAAAAATCACAATGGAAACTGTATTTTTAGTTCAATGATAATAAAATGATGGCAGGTTAATACAAGATGCAGCTTAAAGGAAACTTCATAGCTTTAAAGGACATGTAAGAAAGAAAAAAGACTAAAAATAAATTATCTAAGTCTCTATTTCAAGAAGTTAGTAAAAGAGCAGCATGTTAAGTCCCAAGAAAGAAAGGAAATAATAAACAGCAAAAAATCAATATAATACAAGACTAACGTGAGATACAGAAAAATCAATAAAACCAACAGTGAATTATTTTAAAACACTCATGAAATGTACACTCCTTGTCAAGAGGAATCAAGTAAAAAGAGGACAAGGCATAAATAGTATCAGGAATTGAAAAGAAATATCACTACAGATCCTAGAAACCTCCAAACACCAAAAAGGCAACAAAAGAATATTGTAAATAAAATTGTATCTGGTCAATCACTGAGGCTCATGCCTGTAATCCCAGCACTTTGGGAGGCCAAAGCAGGAGGACTGCTGCTTGAGGCCAAGAGTTCAAGACCAGGCTGGACAACATAGCAAGACCTCTCTCTACAAAAAATCAAAGTTAAAAAAAAATTAGCCAGGCATGGTGGCACTACCTGTAGTCCCAGCTACTCAGGAGGCTAACTAAGGCAGGAGGATCCCTGGAGGCCAGGAATTCAAGGTCTCAGTGATCTATGATCACGCCACTACACTCCAGTCTGGGTGTGACAGGGTGAGACTCTGCCTCTCAAAATAATAATGATAATAATTAAATAACATTGTAGCAATAAATTTGTAAATCTCCAGGAAACAGACAAATCCCTTGATCAAACCTTGGCATAAAAGACCAAACCTTGGCATAAAAGAAAACAGAAAATCTGAATAGTTACTAAAGAAATTGAATCCCGCAAAAGAAAATCCACGATCAGATAGGTTTCACTGGTAAATTCTCCTAATCATTTAAGCAACAAATTACATTAAATTTTCTAGACAATAAAGAAACTCATCTGATGAGGCCTGCAAAACTCTGATATAAGAACCTAATAGATCCATGCAAGAAAGGTAAATTACAATTCAGTGTCTTTTAAGAGAAAAGATGTAAAAATCATATATATGTATGTGTACAAGCACACACACGTAGGCCAAGCACAGTAGCTCACACCTGTAATCCCAGCAAAACTTTGGTAGGCCGAGGTCAGGAGTTCAAGACCACCCTGGCCAATATGGCAAAACCCATCTCTGCTAAAAACACAAAAATTAGTGGGCGTGGTAGTGCGTGCCTGTAATTCCAGCTACTCAGGAGGCTGAGGCACAAGAATTGCTTGAACCCAGGAGGTGAAGTTTGCAGTGAACTGAGATCATGCCACTGCACTCCAGCCTGGGTGACAGAGTGAGCCTCTGTCTCAAGACAAAAGCAAAAAAAAAAAAAAAAAAATACACACGTATGTATACACACACATTAATACATGTATGTACACACACACATAAACATATGTACAAATTGAATTCAAGTAAGAGAACATAACCCAGCTGGATTTATTTCAGGAATACTAGGCTGATTTAACATTTTCAAATTGATGAATGTAATTCACAGAATTTATTAATCTGTTAATAAATTTATTCACAGAATTATATAATATTAACTGGGATTACAGGCACCCACCACCATGTCTGGCTAATTTATTGTATTTTTAGTAGGGACAGATTTGACCATGTTGGCCAGGCTGGTCTTGAACTCCTAGCATCAAGTGATCCGCCCACCTCAGCCTCCCAAAGTGCTGGGATTACAGGTGTGAGCTACAGCACCACACCAAGCAATACATTTCTGAATAACTCGAGGATCAAGGAAAAAAATCACAATGGAAACTGCATTTTTAGTTGAATGATAATAAAATGTTATCATTTTATTCGGATGTACCAAATAGACTTGGCTAGGTACACCAGCTCACACCTGTAATCCCACTTCAGGAAGCCCAGTTATTCACAGAATTATATAATATTAACAGAATAAAGGAGAAAAGCCTTATATTTACATCGACAGATGGAAAGAAAAGTATGTGATAAAATTTAATATTTGTTTATAACTTTTGAAATCTTAGCAAACTATACCATATTTAATGGTATAAAATTGAAAGAGACAAGGATGTCAACTACTATCACCACTTCCATTCAACATTTATGCTGGAAGTTCTAGCCTGTGTAATAAGATGAGAAAAAGAATAAAACACAGAAATTACAAGCTGAACCTAGAGCAGCTTATTATACTAGGAAGTATAGAAATGCTCCAAGAATAATATGGATGTACCAAATAGACTTGGCTAGGTACACCAGCTCACACCTGTAATCCCACCACTTCAGGAAGCCGAGGCAGGGTAACTACATGAGTCCAGGAGTTCAAGACAAGCCTGGGAAACATAGGGAGACCCTCACATCTCTAGAAAAAATTTAAAAAATTGGCCCAGGTTCCCAGGTACTCAGGAGACTGAGCAGGAGGCTCGCTTGAGCCCAGGAAGTCAAGACGGCAGTGAGCTGTAATTGCGCCACTGCACTCTTGCCTAGGTAACAGAGACCCTGTCTCAAAAAAAAAAAAAAAAATATCCAAGAGCCAGCTTAAAGTCTCCCACTGGCTAATCTGGGACAATCTAAGTATCAAAATAAATAATGATATTAGATTACATTAAATAAAATTAACAATTAGAGTCCAGACAGATAACTGAAGAGAATGTAAGCCTCTTCCTTATAGATCTTTAACTAATAAGTTAATCATTAATGGATTCTAAAACTAGTTAGTGACAGTCTGATAAGGTACTATTTACAAAGCCTCAAAGTGCTTCTCCACAAATTACTTACTAATATAAAAAGAGAAAATAAACTTTAAAGTAAAAATCTTGATACTACACTACATTAACCAAGTGATCAAAGTTAACAAGCAGGACAAATTCACATCATATACCCCCTAATGTGATGTACTGATAAGGAAACATCATCATTCATGTGATATCCTGCCCAAAATGCAAAACCTGAATCTAATCATGATGAAACATCATCTAAGTTGGGGAGTCATTCTTCAAAATAACTGTTCTGTAATCTTCAAAAATGGCAATCAAGCAAGAGAAAGGCTGAAGAATTGTTCTAGATTAAAGGAGACCAAACAGACTCAGCAACTAAACGGATCAAGAAGAAAACAACTATAAAAGACATCATTCAGGTAATAACGAATTTTGAATATCAACTGTGGATTATACAGTAATATTGTACAAACGTTAAATTTTCACATTTTGATCACTGAATTGTGGTCATGTAAAAGAATGCCCTTAATTCTTAGGAAATATACATTAAAGTATTTAAGGATAAAGGAGTATGTTGGCTTCAAATACTCTCAAATGGTTCAGGGAAAAAAAGTGATACGCATATATTCACATATCTGTGCAGGCAGATGTGTGTATATGGATATATGTATATTTATAGATGTTTGTGTGTTTTATACATACAAAGAGAGAAAGAAAAGAATAAAGCTAATGGGGCAAAATTAGCAATTGGTAAATCTGGCAAAAAGATATACGAGAATTCCTCATAGTCTTCTCACAATCTTTCTTAAATTTGAAATTACAATGAAATTAAAAGTTACCAAAAATGATAAAGGGGAATATTTTCTTGTAGAAAGAAATATCTTAAGACACAAAAAGCACTAATCAGAAAGGAAAAATTAACCAAACTTCATTAAAATTAAGAACAGATCCTATTCAAAAGACAGTATTAGAAAATGAAAAAGCAAGCTGCAGACTAGAAGACATATGCATAAAAGTGCCAAAGGTGTTATTACAGTCAAGGTAAAAACTCCTTAAATCCATTGCAAAAAAAGAAAGCCACTGAGTCAAGGCCAGGCATGGTGGTTCATACCTGTAATCCCAGAACTCTGGAAAGCTGAGACAAGATCATTTGAGCTCAGGAGTTTGAGACCAGCCTGGGCAGCATAGTGAGACTCTGTCTCTATTAAAAAATAATAAAAAGAAAAGGAAGAAGACAAAGTCAGACACTGACTCAAAAAAGAAGTCTACTGGGTCAATAGTAAAATGAGCAGGAAACTTGAGAAGGCACTTCACAAATGATATCTAAATGGCCAATAATAAAATGAAAAAGTACTAAGAATCAGTCATCAAAATTACTTAAAAAAATTTTTTTAATAAATAAATGATTATACCATGTACTGGTGATCTGAGGCAACTCCTCCCATACACTACTAACAGGAAACGAAACTGGTAGCACCACTTTGGGAATCTGGTACTATCTAGATCTAATATATAACCTGGCCTCCAGTCTCATCTCGTACTATTCTTTTCCTGCTTTGCCATGCTCCAGTACCACTGACTTTCATTCAGTTCCCCATAAGCACCAAGCTCCATCCTAACTCTGGACATTTATACAGAATTCTTTCTTCTCTGTGGGGTATAGTCTGCCCCTCTGTAATGCATTTATTGGCTTCTTCTCTAGCATTCATTCTCTACATCCTCCTTTCCTAACAATTCCATTTTGGGGGGGGTCCCTTGTGGTTCTAGATAAGCACATTTAGTCCCTAACTCCAGGGTGCAGCACATGACCTTGCCTAAGCCAATCTACTCTCCTAGCCACAAGTGATCCAGAGGTTAGCATGTGACCTAAGGTGATCAAAACTGAGAGGATCTCAGATCTTTTAATGGAATGTTAGAGAAAAGACTCTCCTACTGGCCATATGTTAGGGACTATACACCTTTGGCAACTACTGCTAACTATCTAGGGATCATAAAGACAACAAGCCTTAAAATACTGGCAACAAGACAGAAGACAGAGTAAGTGGAGGAAAAGCAATCAAATTCTTGATGACATTGTTGAGCCACTGGATCAACTCTTACCTGAAGCCAACTCTACTTGCTACCAAAAGCATCCTAAAAGAATATTCCTCTTAGCCCAGCCAAAGCCTAATGATCTTTCGAATTCCAACTTAAATGTAACTCACTAAGGCTAGCTAAGGTTTCTTCAACCCCCAGACTTGGCCAGGACTCTTATATACTCAAACCAATGTGTACTCTTTTCTAACACTTACCACAATTATATTTTAAATCATAAACTTAATGTGTTTACTCTGTCTTCCCATTAGACAGTAAGTTTTTGAAGGACTAGGTTTTGTTCACTACTCTATTCTCACTGTCTAGGATGGTGCCTGGCACATAAATATGTTGTGAATAAATGAATGACTGACAGCATGATTTTTTAAAAAAAGCATAAATAAATGAACATTATTGGGAAATGAGGTGTTCTACGTAAACTGATAACCAAAATTTGTCCTGCTAAGCACAGATTCTTTTTGGTTTTATTGTTCTGTATGAAAATCTCTGAACACATTTTCTTGACCTCTGAAACAGAATCTACTAAAGAAACTTACTTGTTTCTTGATAACTTCAGGTTATCACTATGAACAACTTCTGTATGATACTATAATTTAATTATGCCTCAGAAGTTATGAAAATACAAAAGATAGTTATCCTAAAATAAATGGGCCCAGACAAAAGTGTTAAAAATTTTTTAGTTCTTTACTTCCTAATGATTAAGTAGAACACAAAAGCTTAATTCTTAATTATTTTCTCCTCTTCCCCAACAGGCTATTAGCTGTCAATTCTTATTTGGTAGGCTTACAGGAAATGTACTATCACAGTTCTGAATAAGGAACTCGAGAATTCTTCAAGTACAGTGAATATACTTTCAGTGTGTGGACTATCTGTTGTGTATGATCATAGGCATTTTTCATTTACTTTCAGGTTTTTGGCCACATTCCTCTTAGAAGCACAACTGGCAGATAAGGAAAGCTTTACTCTATCTTACTTGCTAGAGTTTCAAAACAAAGATCAATAGGAAATACTATGCAGCTACAAAAAGAAACGAAGATCTCGAACACTCTAGGATATACTGCTAAGTGAAAAAAAAAAACCTCCCAAGATACTAAAATATATTATCTTCAGGCTCAAGAAAGAAAAACACATATATATACATATGAATGTATACACTCTTTTTGAAAATATAAAGGATAAATCAAACACTAATAAAAATGATTACCCACACACCCATTAAAATGGCTACTATAAAAAAAACAAAATAACAAACGTTGGTAAGGATGTGGGAAAACTGGAACTCTTGTACACCATTGGTGGGAATTTTTTTTTTTCACCAGGAGTAGACAAGTGTGTGAGGATAAAGGGCTGATACCAGTCTCAGCTCAGGGGCAGGGCGAAGAATGCAAGGTGGAGTACATGGGAGACAGGTCATGGGCAGAGCCCCTGGCCTGGATGATTCCTTTTGATCTATTGATAGGCTTGCAAAATCAGTACTGGGATGATGATCAGCAGAATGGTCCTGATGATGCCCACGATCAGGGCCCAGATGTTCAGGCACTTGGTGGTGGAGGCATAGGCCTGGGCCCCAGTCAAGTCACCAACCATCTTCCTGTCCCTAGACTTCATGGAGTAGGTGAATGCTATAAAGCCCAGGCAGCAGCAGTTCATGAAGAGGGTGTTGAACAGGGACCAGACGACATGGTCGGGCACAGAGGTCTTGCTGCAGATGTGGATCATGGTGGATGTCGGGGGAGCAGGGTTGTGGGGTGCCCCCAGCACATCCATCTCATGCTCCTCCTTCCGCATCTCATAGTTGGGTGGACGGTCGGTGTTGGTGGGTGTGAAGAAGGTTTGGACAGTGTGGTTCATGCTGTCCAGGGAAGACCAGCCGTGGTGGGGTTGCTGGGATGGTTCTCCCATTGCTGGAATTTTAAATGGTGCAGCCACTACAGAAAACACTACGAAAGTTCCTCAGAAAATTGAAAATAGATTTACCGTATTATCCAGAAGTTCCACTTCTGGTTATGTACCCAAAATAACAGAAAATGGTTATTTACTATTTTTTTATTTATTTTTTGGAGGCAGAGTCTTCCTCTGACACCCAGGCTACAGTGCAGTGGCATGATCGCAGCTCGCTGCAACCTCTGCTTCCTGGGTTCAAGCAATTCTCAAGCCTCAGCCTCTCATGTAGCTAATCACCATGCTAGCTAATTTTTTATATTTTTAGTAGAGCCAGGGTTTCGCCATGTTGGCCAGGCTGGTCTCAAACTCCTGACCTCAAGTGATCCGCCTGCCTCGGTCTCCCAAAGTGCTAGGATTATAGGCATAAGCCACTGTATCCAGCCGGAAAGCAGAGTCTTGAAGAGATATTTGTATACCCATGTTCACAGCAACATCATTCACAATAGCTCAAAAGGGAAAACAGCCCAGTGTCTGATAAATGGGTAGGTAAAATGTAACATACACTAACAATAAAATATTATCCAGTCTTAAGAAGGAAATTCAGACATATGCCGCAACATGGATGAACCTTGAAGACATTATGCTGAATAACATAAGCCAAACATAAAAAGACAAATACTGCATGATTTCACTTATATGTGGTACACAGAGTAGTCAAAATCACAGAGACAGCAAGTGGTACAGGAGCAAGGGGTGACGGGAAATGGGAAGTTATTTTTTAATGTATACTAAGTTTCAATTTTGCAAGACAAAGTGTTCTGAAGATGAATAGTGATAGCTGCATTACAATATGAATACACTTAATACCACTGAACTGTGCACTTCAAAACGGTTCAGATTGCAAAGGTCATGTGTATTCATATAATAAAAAAAGAATTTAAATTTAATTTTAAAATCTAAAAAAAAAAGAGAGGGAGAAGAAATAGCGGCTCATGCCTGTAATACCAGCATTGTGGAAGGCCAAGTCAAAGCGAATCGCTTGAGGTCAGGCATTCAAGACTAGCCTGGGCAACAAAGCAAGACTATACTACTATAAAAAAATAAAAACTTAAAGATTAGCCAAGCGTAGTGGCATGCACCTATAGTCCCAAGCTACTGAGGCAGAAGCATTGCTTAAGCCCAGGTGGTCAAGGTTGCAGTGAGCTATGATTGTGCCACTGCACTCCAGCCTGAGTGACAGAGAGACCCTGTCTCAAGAAGGAAAAAAAAAGACATTAAGAGAAAAAAATCTGTCAACTTAGACTTCTATCCTCTGTAAGACCATCTTTCAAAATTAGGGCAGATTAAAAAAAAAAAAGGAAATCTTCTGGCAAACAAAAGCATAATTTATGACCAAAAGACCCTCTCCTCGCTGTAGAAAATTCTCAGGATATAGCAGACAAAAAGAAAATGACTCCAAATGACAGATATGAAAAATCAAAACCTTAGAACTGAGAAAGAGCATGAAGCAGGGAGGGATGAGATAAGAGCACACAGATAGATGCTCTCCTGCTCTTTCAACCAGAAGAAGGGGCTCTGCCCTGAGCCTCACACTTTAAAAACTGCACCTATCAAAAATATCAAAATCCAAAAGTAATCAGAAACTAATTGAATGAACACAAATTAAGAGAGAGGGACTCACAAACTAAACTTGGTCCCCTCAGGCCAGACAATAAGAGGAGAAGGAAGAAGGCAAATCAGCCTCTGTGCTGGAAAAACCAGAGCAAAAATATCCACTTTTGATTAAGGTTAGTCACCCCAGCTATCCCAAAGGAAGTATCCAGGCAGACTGGGCTCCCTGTATACCTGGATTCCTTCCTCCTCCTCAATCTGTGTAGTTTAAGAAGATATTTGGAATTGCCTGAAAAATCTTGAGTTAGAAAAATAAATTGTAGGCGACAGAAACCTGTTTTCCCTGGCTCTCTGGGGAATTTCACATCAGTCCTCATACCAGATTCCAGACCTACCCCAACCTAACTTCTACCCTACCTGGTCCAGGGAGAGTGGGTTCCTTTAAGAGCCAGCTGGACCCTGGGTAGGAGGACAGGTCAGGCTATTGGCATCCATTGATTTGTAACTATTCAATATTAAGACATTTTAAAAGCTGATTTCCACTTGTACTCCTAACCTAGGTACCATAAGTGTTAGAGGCAAGCATGTGGAGGAGCAGGATTCCTGGGCTCTAAAGTTAAATAACACATTTCGTGGCTGCTCACATTATCACTGTGTGTTCCATAGGGTATCTTGAATGAAACAAATACTACATTTAATAAATGAAAAGTAAAAGGAAGAAAATAGAAAGTCCAAAAAACTAAGGCTAGTCTTTAAGGTATCACTTACCATCATTCTTTAAATTGTCTTCTATGCCAAGATCATCTATCACATAACCCATGGAGTATGACTCCTACAATAAAAAAAAAAAAAAAAAAATATATATATATATATATATATATATACACACACACTTAATTATAATATTACCAGAAAATCATAATTATTTATAAAAAGATACAAATCTCATCCCCACACTTACATTCAACAACAACAAAAACTTCTCCTTTACATTGCCTGTTGGGGTACAATATATAATGCTTTAAATATTCCATACTGAACAAGACCTCAATGCTTTCCAAAAAATAAAAATGGAAAAGAAACAGTATTAATTACATGGACATCCTAACCCAGAGGGGTTTCAAACTTTTTTTACTACAACCCATAAACATATACATATTTTATATCTTACCCAGTTCACACATGTTTAACGGAATTAAGTTTCATAAAGTAACAAATGTGCTCTAATATTTCCTTCTGTATTCTATTTCAGTTTTTAAATGCTGCTTTCACTGAAATGACTCACTAATGAGTCTCAACTCACAGTAGAAAACCCTGTGTAACTTTCCTCAAGAACGTTCATAAACTGAGATTTTATCAGAATATCTTAACTAACATAACTTACATAAGGCTCTAAGTAGAACAGCCTGCACCCAAATCTATACAGGTCTGCATCAACTTCAACTCTCACCTCCTCAGAAGAATTCAACTGAGGCAGAGACCACAGCAAGAATTCAAAGCAGAGAAGAGACCACAGCGAACTTCATAGCAAGAGTGAAAGCTTACTAAAAAGCTTTAGAATAGGAAGGAAAGGAAAGAAAAGAAGGAAAGTACAACCTGGAAGACAGCTAAGCCTGTGACTTGAAAAACCAAGTGTGCAGCCTGACCTCTTGACTCGGGGCTTTATACACCGGCCTACTTCCAGGATCTTCCATTACTTCTCCCACTCCCGAGATCTTACTGGGAAGCTGCTGATCAGTTTCAGGTGTTTTCTATTAGGAGACTACCTTTTCCTAGCACCAGCTGTGACCAATTATTACTTTAGAGAAATAGCTAACAACCGCCTGACCACCACCTGATGATCTCCCAGCACTCCAGGTGTGGGGTGGGGGCGCCTTGCCTGCCCTGCTTATACCTGACTAGCTACCTACCGTTTCAAAGGAACTAAACAGTTATACAGAAAATACCTTTAATTTTACTTCCGCAATAAATAGTGCAAACCACACACACACACACATACACAGAACAGCCTGTACCTTTCAGAAAACCTATTTAATGTGGCCAAACTTTTACTCAAAGACATCCTAATCAGAGAAATTAAAAAACACAAAGTGACAGGGAAATGGCTTTAAAAAAAAAATAACCTAACCCTGTATGAAGACTCAGTGAACAAAAAGAAAAGAAAGTAGCAACTAGAACCAAACCTCCTTCTGGAAGAGAACCTAGGTCACTGATCCTCTGTCAAGAAAATTTGCTCCTTTAAAATGCAGTACCTCAAATGTAAACATATGTCCAGATAAAAATTTATATACAAATGTTCACAGCACCATTATTCATAACAGCTAAAAAGTAGAAACAACCCAAATACTCATCAACTGATGAATGGATAAATAGAATGTTGTATATTCACACAATGAATTAAAGGACATAATAATGCATAAAAGACAAAAAAAGGAAAGTGCTGATACATGCTACAATACGAACTTTAAAAACATTATGCTAAGCAAAAGAAGCTAGTTATAAAAGAATATTATATGACTCCACATATGTGAAATGTCCCTAACAGTCAAAGCCATAGTGTCAGAAAACAGTTTGCTGAAGGCTGGAGAGTTAGGAGAAAATGAGGAGTAACTACTAATAAGTACAGGGTTTCTTTAGAAGGTGATGAAAATGTTCTAAAATTAATTATGGTAATGGCTGCAAAACTCTGTGAATATACTAAAAACTATTTTTAAATGGGGAAATTATATAGTATACGAATCATTTACCAGTAAAGCTATTATATTTTTTTAAATATACTACCTCTGCTCACAAACCTCCAATGTCTCTCCATCTCACTCAGGGCAAAAGCCGAAGTCCTCATAGTGGCCCATCATGTCCAAATTTTCTAATTCCATATACCCCTTCTCCCCAGCATTCATTCTACTCCAATCACACGGCCTCCTTATGTTTCCCAGCATGCCAGACATATTCTAGCATTAGGGGTTTATACCTGTTAGACTTCCCATATGGAACACTCCCAATTCACTTAGCTTTGCACAAATGTCACTCTCGATAAGGCCTTCCCATATAACATTCATTCACTCACTCAGCTGTGGTCTGTTAGCCAGACCACAATTGAGACAGGGTCTGGCTCTATTGCCCAGGCTGGAGTGCAACCTCTGCCTCCCACCTCAAGCCATCTTCCCACCACAGCTTCCTGAGTAGCTGGGACTACAGGTGCACACCACCATGCCTAGATAACTTTTGTATTTTTTGGGAGAGAGAGGGTTTCAACATGCTACCCAAGCTGGTCTCGAACTACTGGGCTCAAGGAATCCATGCATCTCGACCTCCCAAAGTGCTGAGATAACAGGCATGAGCCACCATGTACACCAGGCCCTATTTAAAACCATAACCCTACCAGACAAAGAAAAGCTGTGGGAGTTCATCCCACCTTACAAAAGGCTAAAAGAAGTTCTTCAAGTTGAAACAAAGGAACACTAACCATTCATCTGTTGATAGACCCAGGTTGATTTCATTATCTTTACTACTGTGAATACTGCTGCAATAAACATATAGGTGCAGTTATCATTTTGGTATATTGATTTCTTTTGGGTAGATACCCAGTAGTGGGATTGTCGGATTAAGTGGTAATTCTGTTTTGTAGTGTTTTTAAGACATCTCCATACTGTTTTCCATAGAGGGTGTAGTAATTCACATTTCCACAATATTGTACATGAACCCCATAAATCTGTACAAATTTTTTTTAAAGGATGCTAACAATGTGAAAATGTATAAAAATAAAACTCACAGCCAGGTACGGTGGCTCATGTCTGTAATCCCAGCACTTTGGGAGGCCAAGGTGGGTGGATCATCTGAGGTCAGGAGTTCAAGACCAGCCTGGGCAACACGGCAAAACCTTGTCTCTACTTAAAATACAAAAATTAGCTGGGTGTGGTGGTGAACACCTGTAATCCCAGCTACTCAGGAGGCTGAGGCAGGAGAATCACTTGAAACCAGGAGGCAGAGGTTGCAGTGAGCTGAGATCGTGCCACTGCACTCCAGCCTGGGTGACAGAGTGAGACTCTGTCAAAGAATAAAATAAAATAAAACTTAAAAAATAAAACACATTTTTTAAAAATTTAAAAAATAAAACTCACTATATAGGTAAGGATACAGTCAAATTCAGTATACCCTAATACTGTAATGGTGATGTAAAAACCACTTCAGCATAAAAGATAAAAGGCAAAAGTATTAAAAATAACTATAACTGGCTGGTCATAGTGGCTCATACCTGTAATCCTAGCACTTTGGGAGACCAAGATAGGTGGATCACTTGAGACCAGGAGTTCAAGACCAGCCTGGCCAACACAGTGAAACCCCACATTAACAGAACAAAGAAAGAAAATCATATGATCATCTATAACAGATGCATGCAGAAAAAGCATCTGACAAAATTCAACATCCTTTCAAGATAAAAACTTCCAACAAATTAGGTACATAAGTAATGTAGTAATAAAGATCATAGACGACAAGCCCACAGCTAACATTATACTCAACGGTGAAAAGTGAAAAGCTTTTCCTCTAAGACCAGTAACAAGACAAGAATGCCATCTCATCCAGTTCTACTCAATACAGTTCTGGAAGTCCTAGCAAGGGAAATTAGTCAAGGAAAGAAAAGGTACCCAAGTTAGGAAAAAAATAAGTGAAATTGTCTGTTTGTAGATGACATGATCTTATATACAGAAAACCCTAAAGACTCCAACAAAAACTGTTAGAACTAATAAAATTCAGTAAAGGTGTAGAATACAAAATCAAAATACAAATAGAAAAATCAGTAGCTTTTCTACACACTAACAATGAACCATCCAAAAAAGAAATCAAGAAAACAATCCCATTTACAACAGCATAAAAGACAACAAAAGGCTGAGCACAGTGGCTCACACCTTTAATCCCAGTACTTTGGGAGGCCAAGACAGGTGGATCACTTGAACCGAGGAGTTTGAGACCAGCCTGGGCAACATGGCGAAACTGTGTCTCTACCAAAAATACAAAAACTGGCCAGGCATAGTGGTGTGTACCCGTAGTCCCAGATACTCAGGAGGCTAAGTGGGAGGATCACCAGAGCCTGGGGAGGTCAAGGCTGCAGTGAGCTGTGATCATACCACTGCACTCCAGACTGAGTGACCGAATGACATCCTGTCTTAAAAACAACAAAAATAGGGAGGAACGATTCAAGATGGCCGATCGCTAACATCTCGGGATTGCAGCTCTCAGTGAAAGCACAGAGAACGAGAGGACGCCACACTTTCAAACCAATTTTGGTCGCTCACAGAGCAGAAGATTCCAAGTGGAGGAACTGCACGGGTGGCCAGCGCAGCGGTTTTGCCAGCACCTCGGCACGGCAGCTCTTGGAGCAGAGTAAACGGAATTGGTTCCCCTTCTGACCGATGTTTGGAGCTCCGGGAAGGCAGAGTCGCCTATTACGGACTCAACAAGGAATCCAGACTGGAGATTCCCAGGCAGAAAAGCACCATCAGTCTTAATGCCGCTGTTTTGGCCGGGGCAGTGGGTTGCTCATATTTCGGCCCTGGGAATTAACAACTTGGACGTTCACCCAGAGACCTAATCTGAAAGTTGGTAATTACAAAGACAACGGGTGGATAAATTTACAATGATGGGAAGAAACCAGCATAAAAAGGCTGAGAATACTCAAAATCAGAATGCCTCTCCCTCTAAAGAGGATCACAGTTCCTCAAGGGAACAAGGCTTGATGGAGAACAAGCGCATCCC